CCTACTAACTGTTATAGTGCAGGGCACTTGTTAGTATTTAATAGTTAAGGGATGTCTTAATATCCCTTGAAGATCCTGTTCTATTTATTTATTTATTATTGTAAAGGTACTGGATTAAATACTTGTAACAAACTAATACGCAATACCGAGTCTAATAACACACCATTAGGATTAGACGTCTCGAGCTGAGTGAAATGTACGAGTATTTGTTAATCAAGTCATGCTACCTCTTCGACCAACGAAAATAAAAGATTTTGTTTTTTTTATAACTAAAAACTTCTAAAACTTTTGGTTTTGGTTTCTATAAAATGTTTTTTTTTCCTACCTTTGCTGATACCCTTGAGAGGCTATTTCAGCTTCACCCTAACGTGTAGGTGAGCCCACGGGGCTCGAACCGGAGTTATGCCTAACACTGACTCTAGCAAGAGCCGTGCTTCGCAGAATCTACCACCGGATCGGAAACGCGACCCACTGAGAAGATCCGGCGAGAAACTCAGTGGGCTGTGTCTATGGGTTAATTCGCTTGTCGAGCCCTTGCGACGGGCTCGACATAGACGGGATCGTTGCTTGTGGAAAAAAATGTTGATGTACTACAGAAGCTTACTACAGAAAACAAAATGGTAACCTCTGTATTAGCTATTATATCGTTGTATTCAATGTGTAAGATGGCATTTAGCATGAAGCGTGTCTCCCTCACAACTTACTGAAGGAGTAGAAGGGGATGAACTGCGCTTGACTCGCTAAATGTTCCCTCTTTATTACATTCACTAAACGAGGACATCACACAGAAAGTAACTACCAATACAAACTATCGCCGGTCGGTTCAAAGGTCAAATGTCAAAACATTTTGTACGAAACGACTTCATAAAGATTAATGGCCGATAAAATTATATTTTTACAAGCTGACCCGGCAAACTTCGTAGTGCCCCAATCGATAGATAAAAGACCTAAACTTTTGTATAAAATAAACTTAAAACAAACAAAAGGAATCCGTCCGACGGGGGACACATCAAAGGAAAAACAAAATTGTTATTTTTTTTTAATTCCGACCATGTTTATATTTATTTACCTTTTAAACCTTCTCTGGACCTGCACAAATAATTCAAGACCAAAAATTAGCCAAATCGGTCCAGCCGTTCTCGATTTTTAGCGAGACTAACGGACAGCAATTCATTTTTATATATATAGAAGATAGAAGAAGAAGATATAAGATGTCATTGTTTATTTTTTTTTTATTTACTGAGATGTACTTGACTTATTGGGTAAGACACCCACCGAATACATTCAATACAAATAAAAACAAAAAAAAATGAAATTATTCTGCATTTCTGCCGTGAAACAGTAGGGCAGGCGTTATTACAATATAATGGAAACTAACGTCTGCAGGTGCGAGGGAATAATCACGCTGATATCTATAAAATACAGTTAGTGACACTCAACAGATCATTTCAAATGTGATCTTCGTTTTGTTTAACGACAGTGATGCTCTGGCCGATCTGAGCGGCTGTGACCCAGGGATTCAAATATATACTAGAAGGATGAAGAGATGTCCCATTCGTTGTGAACACGCCAAGCCCAGGGAATGCCGGTCCGATTCGACTAAATTTTTGTGGGTTCAATATCCTAATATTACCTGGGCTGGCTGCCCACTTTTCTTTTTTTTTGTTGCCTTTGTAGGCAGACGAGCATCGGCCCACCTGATGGTAAGTAGTCACCGTCGTTCATGGACGTCACCAATGCCAGGGGGAGAGCTAAGCCGTTGCCGACCACTGCGGAAAGTTCTCAAATCGTGTGAAACGACTACGTCTTACTACAAATGGTATTAAATCACTACATAGTATAAAACAAAGTCGCTTTCTCTGTCCATATATCCCTATGTATGCTTAAATCTTTAAAACTACGCAACGGATTTTGATGCGGTTTTTTTTAATAGATAGAGTGATTGAAGAGGAAGGTTTATATGTATAATAACATCCATTAAATAGTGGAGAAATCAATAATAAATTACAATTTCCGAAGCGAAGCGAGGGCGGGTCGCTAGTTAAAAAATAAGTTGTAAACAGTGAAGGGTTTGTTACGAATCGGAGCAGTGATTGTTGGTCACGGTGTGCGTGGTGTACCCTGGTGCATGGGGCCGGCCGCCGCGCGGAGCGTGAAGCGCAGTTGTGGTCACGGTGCAGGGTTCCACCTGACTCTTGAGCTTGTACTTATTGATTTGTCATTGTTACTGCCCGAAGCCGGCGAGGGGCACGTCTAATTACAGCCATGTCATGTTTGGTATTGCGCCGTACATAATTGTTAGCAGCGTTTCAATATAATTAATATGAACTTTTCATATTTCCTATGTGATGTAAAAGTATCTGTATTTTTGTCAACTTTATTTTGTAGCTATCATACAATGAAAGAAATCCGAGAAAAACCTGAATGACGCCTGGAGCATTTATAAGATAAACTTGCACAAGTCCCGATCAGCAACATGGGCCGCCCATATTATACAAATGCACCTGCTCGTGTGAAGGTCTACCCGTCGCCATTTCTCAAAAGGAAGTGCAACAGTGGGAAACCATTCAGGTTTTTAAAAAGTTACTAGTGCTCGGTCAGCTAGGTATTCACAAATCTACCGAATCAATCAATAGAAACATTAGGAGGAGTACTTGCAAATCAGCTGAACTTCAAAATAACGGTATGCTCTTGTAATTTGAGCCTATTAAAAATAACGTGTCGCACCCCTCACAAGGCTGTGTACCACATCATAAATCAGACGTTAATATGTCTCTAATGAGTTAATAACCGCTCGTCGCTTTTAAAGGGTTAACCCTCTCACCGCGTACCCCAAAGTTAAATTTAATTGTTATTTTGATTTCACGGGGCGCGCCATTAGAAGGGTTGAGGGTGTCCTGGTACCCTATGTTTTTGGTAATCGCAAGCGGATTATGAAGATTAACTTTTAAATATTATATTATGCTTGTTTAGCTTTCAACGAAAACTATTGAATATTAACTATGTTTATTTAAATATTTGTAAGTGGATGAGCGGCACGTGTTGGTTTAGAAAAGCCCTTTATTTATGGTTGTGCATATTTATATACTTTGTATATATCCCGTATTAGAAGCGAGTACTTGTGGTGGTTCTGCAAGCAGCGTAGCACTACGTACTGTATTTGTCAAAGAAGCCATCATTTAAGGAGTCGTAGCAATTTTCGAGTCTAGCGATTGTAAGTGAGGTTGCAATAAAATTAAGTACAATGCATTTTTGGCATACGTCTCAAAATATTCGCAGGGTGATACATTCCACGTAGAGAGCTATAGGTACTGGACCAAACGAGCGACCGTGAGGACCTTAATAATAAATCTAACGTGTCTTTTTATTGACATTTTTTGCAGTTGAATTTTGTTTTTTTCCATAAAAATTTTTCTGTATTCTCTGATCGGTGCATCGACTTGATCCAAATTGGCCTATGGCAGTTTTCATATCTAACGTAATAACCCAATATGAATTTTATTTGCTAACTTTACTCATGAAATGGGGGGATGCTTGAAAACTTCGTAAGACTCGCGCGACGAGAGACGGTTGATTACTACAGATAAGTTTTGTATTAAGCTTAAGGTTTGATTATTGAATGAGTTCAATAAGCAGACGGGCCTTTAGACATAACTTAAATGACGACATTCCCCTTCGGACATCAGCTCTAAGTCTCGATTAGTACTATGTAATAACATCGGTGAACCGATCTTAGAGGATTTATACATTTAGTGTTTGATTTTATTAAAGGTTGGTTTAACCGTTATAGTGGAGGTCGCCCGTGGACACGTGTCGGTACATATGTACTTGTGTCCAGTCCATTAATTTGGTTTCAATTATTTATCTTGCCTTTTGTTCTTTTTTTATTGCTTAGATGGGTGGACGAGCTCACAGCCCACCTGGTGTTAAGTGGTTACTGGAGCCCATACACATCTACAACGTAAATGCGCCACCCATCTTGAGATATAAGTTCTAAGGTCTCAAGTCTAGTTACAACGGGTGCGTTACCCTTCAAACCGAAACGCGATTACTGCTTCACGGCAGAAATAGGCAGGGTGGTGGTACCTACCCGTGCGGACTCACAAGAGGTGCTACCACCAGTAAGCTCACAAGAGATCCTACCACCAGAAGTTCTGTGCGGTCGCTTTTCAGAAAATTGAGACACGCAATATGGTAAATGCAAAAATATGATTGTAATGAACGTTAAATTTAATGAGCACATACCATTCCTCAGTAGGTACCACTAAAAGCTGCAGGCGTAACGAGTGAAACATCAAAACGTACAAAAAACTCTTTTATTTCTCTTAACATTAATAACTGTTGACAAAATCCGGTACATTATAATTTGTATTTAACATTATTTCGGGCGTGCATGCCGGTTGGGGCAATTATTGGACAATGCTTATTGTTGCCATTTCTGTTTGCCAATTTACATTTATGTAAACCAAGAGATGTTTGAGTTTACTCAAGGTGTGCTTTTTATTGAAAAATAATAATTTGAATGTCATGTAATGTGCACGGTCGTCTGGATGTAGAATAATGTAGATCGCCAACAACGTCTACACTTCAATAAATAAAAATGAAAAAGTTAAATAAATAACGTAAACACCAGTTTGAACTGAAATTTCAAATAATTTTTATAAATTTAATTTCAAATGTTTGTGCTAATTGTAGACCCTGCGGTTGTCCGATGTCCTGGCTGTTTCTGTCATGAAGCAGTCCTCGCAGGATGGGAGGGTCGTTGTACAATACAACGGAGACGCCGACCTCATGTCTCAAGCTAGATGGCTTTGAGGTGGGTGTCTATAGGCAGCGGTAGCCCGGGGTTCGGGAACCCATATAGAACAATGAAAAAAAAAAGCGTCGACGGACACAATTTGTATTTATCTGTTGATCTACTTTTCTTTATGTCTTGTGAGTAGTGTAGTTCACAAAGAGGAGCGCGTGGACCACACTAACAACACAACATCAAATATCGGTTATTAATACGTAATTAGGTTACTCAAACCACGTTCATACTTTTGTAAAAACATCTAAATTTATACTTTTATTCGCAACCATTTCTTATTTTATATACCTAATTTAGTTTGAAGTTTTCACGTAGACCTAAATTATTTACAATATGAACACTCGGTACAAAAGTTTATTTATAAAAAAATACAATTTTTCTTTACGTATTTGTACTTTCAAACTTAAATAAAAGTAAATTGTTTATCTGAGAGCCGTGCGCTCAGATATGTGATCAATACGAAGCATGGGATATGTCTAGAAGCGTTCGCACTAACGAATACATTACAGCTAATGTTATAATCACATTTTACCAGATACCGAATAAATGTTGCCTCATTACATTTGCTGAATTACTAAATCTGCAATGTATGTGATATAATGAAAAATGGAAGGGCGACAGAATAAATTTAAAGTACAGGGCAATGTCGAATGATCCAACACTCAGTTGAGACGGTTCACGGTGGCGGTCGCGGAAGACGCGGGGCTACTTACAATACTATGGCAGGTCGGGCTATAGCCTTACTATCAGTCTTTATATCGGAGGTGTGTGTCGCTGGGGGGGTGTCGCTGCTATCACGAGATGATGCAGTTCTTGTCGTGGGGTCCGTTCCTCCGCTGCCGCTCTCGCTTGGCGCAGGCCACGGCGTCGTTCGGCACGTAGGAGATCCGCACTCCGCCGTACGCCCTCCGCGCCGGCAGCGTGTACGACTCCGTCGAAGAAGAGGAAGACGAGCAGGTGCTGCAGTAGCTGCTCGCGTCCTCGTCTCGGACCTTCTCTTTCCTCACGGGCTCATCCGGCTCGAACGCTTCGTTGTCGTCTCCGCAGAATCTAACCGTCCGGCCTCCTCTAGGCTTTCGAGGGGATTTCTTACCGTCTACTAACATTAGTTCTGGCATGGATGACGAGTGCCCCGGGGTCACCACTGCTTGAGCCTCGACGGGGTGCGGCGGCTTCCAGTCGCTAGGGGACTCTTCTTTCTGAACGTCTGAAGTCGGGGTGGGTTGTATTTGTCGCTCCGTCATTGACTGCTCTAGTCTTAAGTCTGCTAATGCTCGGTCCAAGCTCAGACAAGCGTGAGGCGGTGGCGGAGGGTGGGGCGGGGGCGACTCTGGCGCTAATGAGCCGCTAGGTTCAGAATCAGCGTCAATATGAGGAGAGGGCTCTCTTTGCGGCGTGCGCGAGGGAGACTTGGGTGAAGGAAGCCGCCTAGGTCGAGCGACGCGCGGCGGGCGAGGTCCGGGTCCCGACGAGTCGGATGGCGTCGGAGGTTCTCCCTTAGAGCAGGCTATGGAACAGAATATCGCTCCCTTACGCGGCAGGAAGGGGCGACCCAGGAGGCTGGCGTGGCAGGTGTGGCAGGCGAAGCAGCGCTCCGTGGCGTGCCAGTGCTGTCCCTCGTGCGACATCTGTCCCTGGTCCACGCCGACGGGCTCGCCGCACGCGTCGCAGTACTCCGCGAAGCAGCCATCAAAGCAGGGCAGGCAGTAGGGGCGCGCCTCGCGCATGATGTACCGCTGCCCACCCAGCTGCTTGGAGCACTCCGCGCAGGCGAAGTGTTTCATGTGCCACGCGCGCCCCTCCGCCTCCGTGCACTCGTCCGCCAGGATTATCTGTTAACAAAACATACATTATTATTCTCATCGTTTGACCAAAAATACCAACTTATAAAACAACATTGATCGACCGTCGCGTCGGTTTCTACATCTCCGCGTTTATGAGATTTAATAATAGTCTATTAAAAGTTTAATGGTCCATTAATTATCTTCAAGATTCACATAGACACCAGTTCCGCAACTATAATTCTCATCATACATGTAAGACGAGAGATTACTACGATCTTAGAAGATAATGAACTACAATATTGTATAGTGTTATAACGTCTATATTGTAATGGTTTATTTGAGTCGAGTAGATTGTAATCTAGGTTGCCTAGCTAAAGCTACAGACAATAAAACCGCGGCGGGGACGGGTGCTGATAATGAGGCAGATAGCGCGGCTCCCATGATGTCGGCTATTGAAAGTTCTGCAGAAACTCTACTTGGGATGTGTATCTGAGTCACACGAGGGAGTTTCTCGTGTTACAAGGAGCGCTAGTGTCATCAGCCGCTTTGAGATGTTGTATAAGTGTCGGATTAAAAGTAAAGTGAATTACATGATTTCACTCAAAGAGACTTCATCGTCAATTGCTTAAATTCAGTGTTAGTACTTGGAAGCTGAATGCCTGGGAAAGGGCAGGTGTGGGAGAACACGTACGTAAGGGGCATCGCGCACAATTCGATTTCCACACACTCACACTATATCTCTTTGTACAAATGTTCCATCAACGATTTTAGAATATTTAGTAGGTTTTAATTAAGATCCTTCCTTAAGAAGTTGTACAGTTGTACAGTTGTACAGCTGCAAGACGAATGTATTAATTGAAGCACGTACAAATCATCATCAAACCGAAACATTCGGCCAGAATATACCGTTTCTATGATATTAATAACTCGCAGAGCGTTCTAATGACGACGCCGAGTGCATTGGTTGTGGGAGACTTTCCCAGGCCACTATTGTGTGTAGTCGGCGGGTCGGCAGCACCGCGTCCGACGCCAATCACAGACGGCATGATGCTTAATTGGGCCTTGTTTGTCCAGATAATTAATTAAATTAAAACTAGTTCCTTAGGAAAATATAATGCGTTTGAATTGTCGAGGGGAAATGTGAACGGCGGGTTAATGCATGTGATTTTTCGTATTTTATTTGAACGTTTCACGTAAATTGTAGGAGACTTTACATTAAGGTTGGCGTAGCCGTGAATGCCAACAGTAATGGTGAAGTCCAGCCCTGCATTCCGCACAGGGGCTATGAGTATGAATGCGTTATGATCGTACAATACTGTTGTGCAACATGTGTGTCGGGATGGTGAAGTCAATGTTTAACAAACAGTACGAGACAGTGGACCGCACGTGATCCTAGTATTCAATTGTGATTCATGTATTATGTAAAAGTTCTATGTAACCTTCTAAGATCGCTTTTTTACTAGACTGTCTTGGTGGTTATGAAGTTTTAAATTACAAAGAACACCGTGAATATTGGCGAGGAGTAACAACTCATTGCAACGGGTCTGTCTGTTCAATCCACATAGATTTGTTCACACACGGCCCGCCACCGGAGGAAAACTCAGACCTCTTATGTCTTATTCCTTTTGCCGTGATATCGTACTCTGGTCGCCTCCTCAGTGCTTCGCAGAGGGCCACGTGCTGCGACCAGTCACCGGATCCCCGATGTTGCCAACGTGCGGTGGTCGGCACTTATGACTACTTCATCATCATCATCATCATCAGCCTGCGGCAGTCCACTGCTGGACATAGGCCTCCCCCAAAGCTGGCCACTGAACCCGATCTTCGGTTCTACGCATCCAGTTACTGCCAGCCGCCTTGCGCAGGTCGTCCCTCCATCTAGCAGGAGGGCGTCCTACACTACATTTGCCGGCTCGCGGTCTCCACTCCAGAACGTCTACCCCAACGGTTATCGGTTCTGCGGCATATGTGACCAGCCCATTGCCACTTCAGCTTACTAACTCTGCGAGCTCGATCACCTTGGTTTCTACTTGTTGTACACAAAATTACCAACTGTGCCTACTCAATAAATTTCATATATCGTACTCACAGCTTTTAAATCACTGTACTATACTAGTTATCAACCCGACACTCGGCATCTGGACTTTTAGGACCAGGTATCTCGATAAGCAATATCTCATCAAAATTTTCCTAAATTCAGATTTGGAAAATATTATTGAATAAATAATGTGACCTAGAGAGGGACGCATCGTCTGTTCGAGAAGTCATCCCGCACTTCCGACCTCACGGTTGAGACGGCGGCTGACAAACGGCCAATAAAACTGACAACGGCGACAGAACATCGTAAAAAATTTGAATATTGCATAAAAATTTCAAACTAGTCGTCTTACGGAACGTATTATAAAATACAGTGATAGATTTAGATTATTATTTCGTTTATAAATGATTAAAATACAGCTTATTCAAATGTATCTACTTCTTTAATGTAGATAATTCAATATTGGGCTGTTTGTGTGTTCGTGACCTCTGTATCTGATTAAATTGAAAATTTGTACTTGTCGGCAGATCTACGGTATCCAGCACACAGTACCCTTGGCACCGGGTAGCGCGGAACTCAACGAGTGCATTTACTGTATTTATTTACCAACAGCATCAGGGTGCTTCCTGAGAGCTACGATTTGTCTGTCTTTAAAGGAGTACTTTGGCGTTCCTGGTGTACACAAGAGTTGCGACGGTCACCACCCACCCTCGGGTCGGCGGGTCCATACGTTTGTCTACAGAGGCAGTTCAATAAATTAGCAGTGTAGCGCGGCCTGACTTCATTAGTACATGCAATGCGTTAAGCAATGAACACGCAATATTATTTAACGACTGTGAAATATTACTGTTTTAACTATAAAAATTGATAGATCAGAAAGGTATAGCCTATAAATATTGATTTAGTACATGCGAATGGCGACCTCGATGTCACGGACCTCCGGGGCCGATCGTCTGTGCTGGCAGGCCGGGGGCGGGGACGGGCTGGGGGGGGGTACTCTTCATTAAAATAGGCCGTCAAGACTCGACGAAAGAATCATGGTAAAAATATACGATGAAGAATTACACGGAGTGCAGGTGGAGGAGACGCCGCAGGCACAGCTCGTTGTGGAGGTCAGGATATCTGCATTCCAAATCTAAACCTCACATCTCAAATAGATGGCGAAAACAATTTTATGGTGACGATTACCAACAGATCGAGGTAAAGAGACCGCATGGGCGCAGTCCGACAAGGTGGTTCGACCAAATCCGCACCACACTCGAGATCCCATTTCACGACGCCCTTCATGCGGGCAATGATCGGAGGCGCTGGCGGGACATTACAAATCCTGTCGAAATATAATGGTCACGACCCTCAGCAGTGAGGAAACGACGCGAGGAGGAGAAGATTACCAACAGATGTGCTACGAACTCATCTAGTTTTATACTCCTTGATGAACAGTACGGGCTCGTTATATAAAACAGCGAAGCAGAATCACCTTGGCACGACTTCCAGGCATCTGCACTAATTAATTATTTTTGTAAGCACTACGGCTCTGTGGACCAGTAGACCTTCGAACGCTGTTAGATTGAGGTGGTCAGTTCTGATTGTTTTAAATCGTATACCTACATAAATGATTTTAATCGAAGGGAATTCACTTTTTCCACAGTGTTATATGGATTGGCATGTATGTGTGTGATATGCACAATTGTCGAATAGAAAAGGCGTACTGTGAAAACAAGAGCATCAAGGCATATGTGCAGTAATATACATCTTGTCTATAATTCCATAACACAGACGCTTGCAGTCATTTGCGACGAAGGGCTCGACGAGTAAATTAACCCACAGACACAGCCCACTGAGTTTCTCGCCGGATCTTCTCAGTGGGTTGCGTTTTCGACCCAGCGGTAGATTCTGCGAAGCACGGCTCTTGCTAGGGTTCATGTTGACAACGTCGTCAGGTTTGAGCCCGGTGAGCTCACCTACTAGTTAAGGTTACGCTGAAATAGTCTCTCAAGGCTCTCAGCTTAGGTAGGAAAAAAAAACATTTGCGAAATTCAAGTACAAATTTGTTATAAGAATGTATTTTATTGGAGCCCCTCGTTAGCGGTTATCGCTCGCGACGCAATCCGTCAGGAGCACCGAAAACGCTGCGTTTCCGCCGCGAGTCGGCGCGACCCTCCGGCGACTCCAACGTTTGATTTATTGACTTGCAAATGGCGGGGTCGACGAACCTTACAGCTGCCTTCTTAATGCGTTTCGTGATGACTTTCAGTTGCAGATAGTCGAGCTATGTCTTGTGTTTATATGATAATGTGTTCATAGACATAATTGACGATTAATCGTGGAATAAAAAACTAAACCCGCAAAATTATAATATGCGTAATTACTGGTGGTAGGATCTCTTGTTAGACCGCGCGGGTAGGTACCACCACCCTGCCTATTTCTGCCGTAAAGCAATAATACGTTTCGGTTTGAAGGGCAAGGGCAAATTAAGAAGCGGACGGTTAGCGTGGTATGGACATGTGATNATAGACATACTTGACGATTAATCGTGGAATAAAAAACTAAACCCGCAAAATTATAATATGCGTAATTACTGGTGGTAGGATCTCTTGTTAGACCGCGCGGGTAGGTACCACCACCCTGCCTATTTCTGCCGTAAAGCAATAATACGTTTCGGTTTGAAGGGCAAGGGCAAATTAAGAAGCGGACGGTTAGCGTGGTATGGACATGTGATGCGTAGAGAGAAGATGCATGTGACTAGGAGATGTATGGAAATGGTAGTGCAAGGTAGAGGGGGAAGAGGTCGACCGAAGAAGACATGGATGGAGTGTGTGAATGACGATATGAGAGAGAGAGGAGTGAGTGTTGAGGTGACGGCTGATAGAAGAGAATGGAAGAGAAAAATTTTAGCTGTGCCGACCCCACCTAGTGGGATAAGGTGCAGAAAAAGAAGGTTTGAAGGGCATATCTCAAGGTAGGTGGTGCATTTACGTTGTAGGTGTCTATGGGCTCCAGTAACCACTTAACACCAGGTGGACTGTGAGCTATTTCACCCATCTAAGCAATAAAAAAACGCGTAAAATAACAGGCATGCCGTCCATTTCGACTACGAAACAATCATGTACTTTAGTCGAAAGTGTGTGTCGGTCGTTTTTATACTATTGAGACTTTACCTCATATAGATGGTGTTCACATCTGTAGCCTTTAGTAACTTTAACATCAGATAGGTAATCTGTTCATAAAAATAGTTAAGTATTCAAATACATTGGACAATAAAATTAATAAAACAATACGAGATATGAACCGGTGTCATGTCATTGACCTGTTAACGAAATTCCCCTAAAAGCCAACATTTCGCATTCTGCAGTCGGAACGATTAAATAACCCTTAAAGTTACAATGAGACCGCGGCGTGCAAGAATTTAGCACAGGGGTGGCAAGTCATGGGTGTAATGAGCTGCTCGTGGTCGTATCCTGTGGGGCGACAGCGTCGAGGGGCCAGGCACGTAATTAGTCTGCGGTATCTTCTCTTCATCACCGATAAGATAGAAAGACTACTGTTGGGTTTTTTTATTGCTTAGATGGGTGGACGAGCTCACAGTCCACCTGGTGTTGAGTGGTTACTGGAGCCCATGGACATCTACAACGTAAATGCCGCCACCCACCTTGAGATATAAGTTTTAAGATCTCATGTATAGTTACAACGGCTGTCCCACCTTTCAAACCGAAACGCATTACTGCTTCACGGTAGAAGCAGGCGGTGTTGTGAAGTAATCACAGCTGTTTTTATAATGTGTTGTTTTAAAGGCTTATTGTGACAAGGAATAGGCTGTGCCACCTTCCTTCTCTATTTCTGGCACGAAGCAGCTCCATTGTATCAAGTAGATATTTATATTTAATATGAGCGTAAACCTGAATAAATGCTTTCTCGGTTTTGTCATGGACAGAACACACAGACCCGTGAATAATACCTGTGCGGATCATAAATCAAGCACGTAGGCAATTTTACTATTAGATGAGTTAGTAAGTGGACCGAGTAAATTAAAACTACAGTGGGAGGTCCCCTAAATGAGTGCAGTAGAATGGCCTCGAGCAGGGAGAGATGGCGGGACATCGTGAGACGCATCAAGTCTGCCCCTTCCAACACTACATGACGATCACGACCACTCTGTCAAGAGTGACACGATTGAGAAGAAGAAGAAGAGTTAGTAAGAGTCCTTACCTCATCACAAGCAGAACATCTCGGTTTCAAGGTCTCAGCGTGATGCCTCCCGCAGTACAATCTTCCTTCCTTCCAGAAATAGACCAGGTCGACTAATATTTCTTGGCACGTGCTGCAGACGAAGCACGCGGGATGCCACCGCGCCGCGGGTCCCGCCCTGGCAGCAGACACGCACATGTCACCAGATGACATGGACTCCTCGCACTGTGAACAGAGTTACTCAATTAAGATACTGGAATTGATTGACGAGCTTAGTATCTGATCTACAATATTAAAACAATGAAGACTGTGAGCTTTACAGAATAGGTTAATATGAGTTTCTGGACATTGTAGCAAGTTCTAGGAGTGTAATGTGTAGTACAATTATTATAAATGCGATATTTTGTGAAGATGGACTAATGTTTGTCACTATTTCACGCAAACAGTGCTGTATTTTGAAATAATTTCACAATGTAATAGATACATCAAAATAGCACGTAGACTATAGTAGAGTACAACTAACTTGCGAATAGCTCCAACACAATACATGTTTTCTGTACAGTTAGTGAAAGTCACTGGTGGTAGGTCCTCTTGTGAGTCCGCACGGGTAGGTACCACCGCCCTGCCTATTTCTGCCGTGAAACAGTAATGCGTTTCGACTTGAAGGGCGGGCCAGCCGTTGTACTGTAAAAACTGAGACCTTACAACTCTTGTCTCCTGGAAGATGGCAGCATTTATTTTATAGATGTCTATGGGCTCCGGTAACCACTTAACATCAGGTGGGTCGAGAGCTCGTCCACCAACCCAAGCAATAAATAAATAAAAAAGTCACCACGGGGTGCGATCTGGTTTACCTAGTTCTACATAAACGTCCCATCCACTTTTAACAGAGCCCTAGTTCAGAGGATGTGAGTACGAGCGTTCGTGCGTACAGCCACTGCGCTACTTTCATCATCATCCGTTCATAGTGGCAACCTTCTCAGCTATGCACCTTCACGGAGACTACCCAATACCATATACCTGTCGTCTACGTGATCTAGTACTGGTTATGTTTCATTGTTATGTTTAAGGCATACCACACACAGAACACCACAACTGCTACCTGTTCTGTGTACCAGGCGTCTGTCTATACCAGCCTTTAAGATTTGACCAGCCTATACCAGCCTTTAAGAGTGCAGTGGTACTTGAGTCACAGGTACAGAGTCACAGAGGACCACGGTGTGGTCTATTGTTGTAAATATTGCATTAAACATAACTGAGGTGGTCAATTTAATGTCGCCTCACGGTGAAGACCGTGAATTTGATTTCCGGTTAGTAATTATTTAGCGCGTTCGTGACCGGCCTCCGAATGATTTATCAATGTCGTTACGGGGTTTTCCTAAAATTTACATTACAGGTTTATAATATACTTTAGTATTGATATTATTTTATTAAATTAGTATTTAAAATATTGTCAGCAAAATAATCATTAATCAGCTTTGCCATTTAAAAACTATAAAATAGACAATACTTTAAGAAGCATCTGATATATGACATCTGTAGCACAGTACTGCTTCAATTAAATAAGTTAAATTCTCATCACTGTACATAATCAGTAGGTAGTAAGTAGTAGAGGAAAGAGGAAGAGGTAAACCTAAGAAAAAATTGATGTATTGCGTGAAAGACGATATGTGTAAGAGGGGAGTGAGCGAAGAAATGGTATATGATAGAGGAGTATGGAATGAGAAAACATGTTGCGACAACCTCAGGTGTTTGGGAGAAGGGCAGGAGAATAGAGATGATGATGATGAGTAGTAGTAGTATTTATAGAATATTGAGAATATTGACAGCGGGTGGGCCTGAGCCGGTACGCACAATATTTGAACCATCATCACTATTTTGTTCAGAAAATTATAATGTTCTCTACAATAGTACAGGAGCATCTAGCGCCAAGGCTGATGAAGGCCGTCGATTGTTCCCACTAAGGTGTCGTAAGTTTAATGACCGAGACATCTATAGGCACACTATGTACGATCATAGAACACGCGGCCTTACAAAAATACCTTTACTTAAAACATAATTTATTTCGTTGTATAAGGGAACATGATATCTTTATGTAACATGCAACTTTTAGAGGACAAAGCGTCATGTCAAAGTTAGGTGGCGAGGTAATTTGGATAACGGCGAGGACTGTTTCCGGACAAACTAAAAGTTTTACGTTGCTCTTGTTTAATAGAATGAGTAATAAATAATAAAGTATACAAGCGCCGCTCCTCTATATCTTTTTTATGATTGAAGAATTACTGATGCCCAGTAATCGATGCCGAAACTGGAAGTTTCACCGGGATAGGTGGGCGAGCAGATGCTCAGCCAGGAGGGTTGGGATTTGCTAACAGCTGCCCGAGCGCCTCCGAAGGAGACCTAACAACTCAAGAGCAACTCCAACGCGAATGAATCGACTACTGGATCGGAATCGCGACCTGCTGAGAAGATCCGGCGAGAAACTCAGCGGGCTGATGCATGGGTTAGGTTGCACGTCGACCTGTTTGTCGAGTTCGACGAGTTCGGTTCTCCTATATCTGTGAGGCAGTGCTACCTTTTGGTTTGAAGGGTCGTACAACCGCCATACAATACATACAATACAACATAGAATTCCACCCGGGTTTGTAAGTAGGATACATTCGAACTGTGTCTCTGTTGTCTGTGCGCTCCGGTAACCACTCTGCACTGGGTGGGCCGGGAGCTCGGTCACCAGTATCGACTATAAATTAAAAAAAGCTTCATTTGGAATAATAATATCGTCTCTCGCACGGATAATATGAAAAACAAACGTCAAAGCCGAGCTTTTGGTATCGCAAAGGTATTCAACAGAATTTCGTGGCCGATTTTTTATGATACCTCCCAAAAATCGCGTGAGCCTGGAGCAGAGGTAGGCGCAAAATCGCATCGCAGCACGTACAGCGCGGCGTTCTGAGAACCCTCTATTGTTGTGCCGGGCCTCGCCTCTGGTCGCGGCGGCGCTCACTTCACTCATCTTAATTTGTCGGCAAATACTTCTGCTTGGTTTTGATTAAGCTCCGAGCATAAAAACCAGGGGTTCCCAAACTTATTTTGTCTACTGCCCGCTTTGAAAATAAATTACTTTTTAACGCCCCCTAGATGAAATTACACAACGCCTCCTTTTTTTCTGGGTCTCTTACCGCCCACCTTTAGGCCTGCAGAGCCCACAAGGGGGCGTTATCGCCCACTTTGGGACATTGGGAAAGGCAGGCATAGACGCTACAACGTTAATTCAGCGATTTTCCATGGAGTTTTCATTGTAAAGTATTCGCACTTGTTGGTTACCTTGTCTATCGATTAGTACAAATGGTTCGCGGCAAAAATAGCCAAAATTCTTAGGTCCGGGATAATGTGTCAACACGTTCGAGCACAGAAGACTACGCGATGTGTTATGTTCTAAACGAAGAAATCTATCGCGGACACGTGCCGGTCGTGCCGCCGTGCGTATCTATCTAGAATAATTGGTACAGCTGCGTAGACAGAAGTTAAAAGTCTGTATTTAGCAGCCCTCATTTAGTACAGTTGACGCGGATATGATAAATATTTCATCGTTATAAGGTGTTGTCTGTCGTCCTGTAGTTTTGAGACCAGGATATAAAGTGTTAATATGAGTAAGTTGTAATCACATAGTTCGCCGTCTGAGCTTGTAGACGTGTTCCCGGGCATGACTCACGCAGGTTCCGCTCGTTGAGAGTCTTGAGTTACAAGCGACAGCGGAGATTTTACCACAACCACACTCAGAAAGAAACTCAAAAACATCTTGCAAATTTATGTAAGCGCAATGCCCTTTTTGAAGATAGCGAAATAATTTGGCTAACTAGCTTATAACTAAATAATTTTTTCTCCTACCTACGCCGAAAGTTCGGTTTTCTTCCCGCTGTACAGGGAAGAAAGTCTAACTTTTCCTCCCTGGGTACAAGTGCGCATGCGCGTTAGTGTCTACGTCTGCTCTCACGCACCTAAAATTCTCCGCCGTTATTGTGCTTGGGTAATTAGCAATATTGTGTTTAGTGTAGTNTTTGGCTAACTAGCTTATAACTAAATAATTTTTTCTCCTACCTACGCCGAAAGTTCGGTTTTCTTCCCGCTGTACAGGGAAGAAAGTCTAACTTTTCCTCCCTGGGTACAAGTGCGCATGCGCGTTAGTGTCTACGTCTGCTCTCACGCACCTAAAATTCTCCGCCGTTATTGTGCTTGGGTAATTAGCAATATTGTGTTTAGTGTAGTGAAATACACAAAATGCAATAAAATTTCATACTGAAGTATTAAACAAAGATGAGTTCATCAGACAGTTCTTATTCAATTAGTAGTAGTTTATTTAAAAATTATAAAACAGTTAAATTGTTTTTTTATGAGACCCCGTGCCAGGGCTTCGCCCCTGGACCCCGGCCCGATTCTCCACGCACTTTCGGCCTGGTAGGAGAAAAAATAGTATGTGCATCAATTTTACACGCGGGAGGAAATGTCCTACTTTTCTCTCTTGGTGCACAATGTACTAATCCACTAGTACCGTTGAAGATTGTAAAACAATTTTAAGACTAGATAGCAAGGAATCGGTGCATATGTTTATTTATTTAAAAAAGTACACATTGAATCCATTATCTCTCGCCTTGTTTAGGACTTTAAACAAAATGTCTAGTTAAATAAATAAACCTATGTTAATGTAAGCTTTATCAATGTACTTATGGTAGGCCGTATACGCGGGTAGGGGCGGCCTCCTCTATACTTATTCCTGCCATGGAACAGCTAAGAGTTCCAATTCGAAAGGTGGACAGGCGGCCGCGCACAACCAGCTTGTAAGGCATATCGACTCCAGCAACCAAACGCTGGTCGTGGACTAATCGCACCCCAATTGGGAGCAAAGTAGAGAAAGTTTCAATTATTTGTAAAAAACGCCAATCCTCGTCGCTTAGACTGTACGAAAGGATTCATTGAAGACAGGATTAGAGTGATCGCGCCGACCGTGCGTATTAAACAATGAGACGCTAAACATTATATTATTATATCTTTCATTCCGAGTCTATTTATAGAGCCATTCATGAGTACAATGAGGACGGTACGATGAAGGGAACGTTAAAATTAGATTGTGCAGATATTAAAATATTCAATGTGTACTCCAACAAATGTCCTGCGTATTCCACCGCAAAGCGTTGAGGCCAAGGAGTGTTATCATTGTTGAGACA